TCGTGCTTCCCTTTCATACATTCATACTCATATTTGGAGGATAGCAGAAAGATTCACAGGTTGTAGTACCTTGTGAGAGCGATGCCGTTGGCCACCTCATGGGGGAGGGAGGGCTGGTTCACCATGTTCCTGGTGTTGTGCTCAGTTGACGGGCGATTATGCACGTACACGGCTTTCACTCCTTGCTAGCCGAGCAACACCGCTATGCTGCACCTACCGGGGCCGAGCGAAGCACTTGTCCACTTTATTGTCTCACATTCCTCGCAGAAATTTCAATCTATTGTAACTCCAAGATGTCGAAACCGTCACAACTTTCCAGTGGTTCTTGACATGCAGAGGTCTCATCGAGCACCAACCTTAGACTACGTATTTAATGTTACTTCCTGAACATGCCCGTAATGGCTGTGGTTTGTATGTGTTGCCGATGGCGAATTCAAGAGCGACCGCTCCACCCATGTTGGCAACCGGTGTCCCCCTTCCTATTCACGCGCGCACGCAGGGAACAACTTCGAAGAATGCGGCTACGATGGAGGAGAGTAAGTTGCTGTCCCCCGGGAGTGGATTTCAAGTGTTGCCGTACGCACACAAGCGGCGAACCAAGCGAATCAGTTACGCGATTCGTGCATTGATGAGTGAAATATTTCGTGGGTTGGTCGGAACGCTTTATTTTCGTTGCGCGATGAAGCTGAGGCATGCGCTAGGTGTCGATCTTTGAGCTGTCCGGCAACTCCCTCGTCCTCACCCCCCCCCACCCGCACTATTGTCCCACTCCGTCGTCCCCCTGTCCTGGCGGTTTGCGTCAGTTGTTGCGAATGCGACTGCGAGTCAACCCTGGAGAGTCACTGTGGCGTGAATGGCTACGACTGCGCCGATCCTAGTTCGCCTTCGGAGTGCATAGAAGGTGGGCTGAAGCGTAATGACCTCCGTTGGTGAACGTGTCGATATCGCTGAGCTCTCACCTGATTCACCTGTGTGCTTCATACCCCCTGAGCGTCATCCGGGTAGTCTTGCAATCGGTAACGGCAGACTTTTGTTTCCTCATATGCGGCCTTGATTCCATACTCGCTGGTCAACTGCTGAGTGTCGATCCGCGAAACAGATATCACCACCGGGGTCATGAGGCACTCTATCGACGTAATTTTTGAGAAGTAGTCGCATAGATAACTCGATGTCGCCTCCTTGTCAATCTCAGCCGCCGATCCCCTCGCGTGGTCAATCTACCTCTGATCATCACCATTAGATGTGCCGACACCGTCACCGCAAGAGCAAGCACCCACGCCATCTCCACTAGAAGTCACGCCGGCAGTATCGTCCGAAGGTATGCTTGATTTGGCGCATGTGACGCAACGACCTGTTGTATTTAGATTCTGATTGGCGTCTCACAGGAACTAGTCACCGTTCTTTGTGAAGTGCTTGGTAGAGTGAACTTTTCAGCTACGTCGTTGTGAAGGGTGTTGTGAGAGGGATTTGAAGTCATCTGCGTCCGATCATTGTGCCCACTCTTTGCCCATGTATATTTTCCCGGCTGCCTTGTACAGATGGTGATTCGGATGACACCTTCGTGAGGGACATCATCATCGGAGTGATTTCAACCGTGGTCGGTGGGGTAGCATTAGCATTAGTCACCAAATATTGTCTAGGAGAACGAGCGTCTTCGGCAGGATGATGTTCCGGATCAAGAAAAATTGAATCTCAGTACAATGAGCATGCTGTTGAGAGAAGTCGAGGTCCAAGGCCTTCACCTAGACGGAATAGAGGACATCACCAGCGCTGGAGTGCGTTTAGTGCACAACGTTTCAAGCGCTCCCACGCATGGGCATCTATCTGTCGGACAGCGTGCTTAGGTCGATCGTGGTACACGTATTGACTGCAGTACACCATCTTGAACACAGGACCTTTGTAATTCGAGCATGGCCAAACATACAAAACGCACACGCACAAGCAGGAACGATGTCATCCTCTGAAGCATATACATACACAACAAACGTTGGGACGAGATTCCCTCGGCGACACAACCTGGACCCACCATCAACAAGTCACGATGGCCAACGATATGCTATGGGCAGAAATGATCATCACCTGATGATTCGGGTGGGGAAGCTCAAGCTTCCACCCCGAATTCATAGAAATACCTTCTGATCGGGCGTGTTGAATGGTTATGCATAGGGAGGAGATTTTCGTAGGTAGTCATGAACGGGTAGTCGAGTTGTTCAGCCAACGAACGAGCTGCAGTGCAGACGCTATACGCGACACATTCACCGGTGCGGTACGGGTGCACAAGTATTCGACGTTCTCGCACCGCAGGCAACCTTTGAGACTATGCCATGGACATGATCTGTCAGAGACGACAATATTTAGCTGGTGGTGTCTGCTTTGTGTTTGGGGTTGTAGAGTTGTTGTGTTTTGGAAGACGACTTGGTCTTGCCCCTACGACAGGGACAGCATTCACGGTGAAGAGGGTCCACCGAAGAATAAACGAATATTGCTGCAGTAGCCTGATTATCGCCCTCCCTCTCTTTCTCCTTCTCATGCGCACTCTTGGCGTGATCTCTGCAGGACTTGTAGAACCAAACTGTTGGTGACCCCTTTGCTCCCCTGGTCATAAATATGCTTCCCAGGTCTGTCTCCCTAACACACTTCCGGGAATCACTGCGAATCACTGCCCCAACATAAACTTCTGGAAATAATCGCGGAACATCATGGACGCAATCGCCAACAACGCTAGCACCACTCCTACATATCGTCTTCGCCCTCGTCAGGCGGTCCCTGTAACGCTCCACTAGCAAGGGAGTGTTCATGTCCCCAATTTAGCAAGGCCTTGGTGTACGTGTCTTCGATGAAATCATGCCCCAAACTTACGGCATTGCTACCTGTGCTTGGGGTTCTTGTCTCTAGACTGGACACGAGTCGCGGTGTTCAAACACAAGAGGGCTTCGCCACCCCGGCCCCGCGATGTGCATGTTGTTCGGGCAGGAACGACTCAACACCAACCAGCCGAGGCGACCCCATGACCTGTCGGTTGGAGCGTGTGCCAGCATTTGCAAAGGCGCTGGTTGTTAACAGCACGACAACGGCTGTTATATGCTGTGGCTCCGTATGTGACGGAGGCTTGGGTAGAGAAACACAGAGTGATTGTATTATCTTCACACCGACGCCCAAGCTGTCTTCACCTGACGGTTACAGACTTGGCGACGCCTTCACAATACCGCATAAACCCATGCAGTAGAATAGAGCCGTTCTTGTACTACAAGCACTTCCAACAGTTGTCAGCCTCGACTTCTTCATCGTTGTTGCCGTTCTCTCCCGGAGATTTTATCACGTCCGCAGGGGTGTCTCCATCATCGTTCGTGAGCTTCTTCTCATCTGCTCCCCAACGCAGCTCCACATTCGCCACTATCGAAATCATGCCAGCTATACGGCGCGGCGTCTCGTCGAGTTCGTCACGCACATTGACATTCGCCCCATCCTCCAAAAGGGCGCTGATCGTGCCGATAGATTCTATCCGATGATTAACGGCAACATGGAGAGGCGCGGAGTAATCGTCGCCGGTAGCCTTCGCGTTGACATCAGCCCAAGCCAGTTTCCAACAGCACACGGACGGCATCGTCGCCGTTGTCACCGACTGGTATAATATTAGCGCAGGAGTGTAGGGCTGTGAAGCCGCTATCATCGGTGGCGTGGAGTGCACTACTGTCTTGATCAAGGAAGACTATCACGATGGTCGCGTGACCTCTTGTTGCAAAAGCCTCGAGAGGAGAATAGTGGTCGTCGCAACGAATGCCGTGGTTGGCACCGGCACCTAGAAGAAGCTCTTTCATAGATTCGAGGTGGTTGTTTTCTGCCGCCTTCCACATTGACATTTCACCTAAACTATTGACCGCGTCCTTTGTCTGCGCCGCCCCCCAAAAGTTGAGAGATGCCCAGCGCACGGTCCTTGGAAGCAGCCAGGTGGAGAGGAGTCTCCTGGAGATCATTCGTTGGGTCTACATCGGCCCCTTTCAGAAGAAGCATGCTGGTGCCCAACTTCGGCAGCGAGAGCGGACTGCATGTCTCCCGATCACGCAGATTCTGGTCTGCTCCAACCATTATGAGCGCCGTGGAGCCTTTCCTGCCCCGTGCGCTGCCGCAACATGGAGGACGGACTTGCGTTTAGCCCCGCGAACAGGGCGTTTACATTATTAATTGTCCGTCGCCCCCGCGGTGAGCATAGCCCGTACTGTATGTATGTATAATCTTCTAGCTCCATATACCGTATGCAGCCACACCCAGCAGTGTTCGTTCATGGCAACTCCGACAGCCTGCTTCTCCGTTGGCACCAGCGTCCATCAGCCTTGTGAAGAGATCCACGTTTCCTTTGTTGTCACTGCTCCTCGGTCCCTTTCTCGACGACTTTGAAGATCTCGATCTCGCAGCCGTCCACACGTGAGCGGTCTCCTTTACTTTTCGAAGCGGACATTGTCGTGTGCTCTCTCCCATTGCAATCTTACACGAGGCGTTGTGTTGCTGCTGATTCTGGCTAGAGCGGGAGCAGGTAGGCTGGGAGTGGCAGGCAGTGCGCAGTGCTGAGTGAGAGGTGAGTGCGGAGGAACCGGGGGGCATCCGCAGAACGCGTAAAGTTCAGAACATGATGCTGTACGTAGCTATGATGATGTCTTCATATGCATATCTCGCCGCATTTTCTGTGATGCTGGCTGTTAACCCTCGGTGCAGTCTCCCTCTGCTCCGTGTCAGCCTACTTGCAGCCTACAGCCTACCAGCAGCAATACGACTCTACGCGTGAGATCGCAATAGGAAAGACAAATACTATCAAAAGACGATATCCGCTTCGAAACCTCAAGGAGACCGGTCAAGTGTGGACGGCTTCGAGATCGACATCTTCAAACTCGTCCGAAGGGAGGCGACTTCGGAGCAGTGGAAACAGTGGCTTCGAGCACCTCTGGAGCATGCCGCGGCCAAAGGAATCTTGGATCTCTTCACAAGGCTGATGGACGCTGGAGCCAATGGGGAAGCAGAGTGGCGGGAATGCCATGGACGAACACTGCTGGGTGCGGCTGCATACGGCAAGAGCGAGAAGATGGTACGGGCTCTGCTCACCGCGGGGGCGAAGAGTGATTGATGTAAACGCTCTCTTTGGGGGTGAAAGCGAGTCCGCTCTGCACGTTGCGGCAGCGCGGGGGGCAGAGAAGGCCTCCACAGCGCTCATGATCGCCGGAGCAGACCCGAATCTGCGCGATCGGATGAATCGTAGTCCGCTCCATCTCGCTGCCGAAGCTGGGCACCGTCATATCATAGGTATCCTTCTGAAAGGGGCCGATGTAGACGCGTGGAATGATCGCCAGGAGACTCCTCTCCACCTGGCTGCTTCCAAGGGCCATGCGCCGTGCATCTCTGAGCTTTTGGTGGGCGGCGCAGACAAGGATGCGATCGATAGTGTAGGTCAAACGCCACTGTGGCATGCGGCAGATAACAACCAACTCGAAGCTACCGAAGAGCTTCTAGCTGCCGGTGCAAACTACCGCATACGTTGCTTCGACCAACGTTCTCCTCTCGAGGCTGCTGCAATGGGAGGTCACGCGACCATCGTGACTTCCTTGACGGAGACGGGGATGAAGCCTTCGCCACCGACGATTTCGGATTAACGGCCCTGCACCCTGCGCTTTTTCACCCGTCGGTGACAACGGCGATGCTGTTCGCGTACTGTTGGAAGCTGGGGCTGACGTCGACGCGGAGGCCACCGGCAGCGATTGCTCCACGCCTCTCCACGTTGCCGTTGATCGTCGTGTAGCATCAATCGGCACGATCGGCGCCCTTTTGGAGGGAGGGGCGGATATCCACGTGTTTGACGAAATCGACGATACTCCACTGCACAGAGCTTGCAAGCGTTCGAGTGTAACTGGTGTTGAGCTTCTGTTGCGTCGGGGAGCAGATGAGGAGCTCACGAACGAGGAAGGAGACGCCCCTGCGGACATAGTAGGAGCGTCGCCGAGTAACGCCACCGTCGACGAAGAAATCGAGGTCGACAACCAGCGCATTCGCCGAATGCTGGCACGCGCCCCAGCCGATAGGTCATGGCGTCGCCGCGGCTTGCTGGTGCTGAGTCGTTCTTGCCCGACCAGGGTGCAGATCGCAAACAGAAGTAGCAGCGGCAGCTCTATCGGCAGCAGCAAGGGTTGCTTCGCCAAGGTGTCGCCGGCCAGCCGCAAAAATTCGGGCGGGGATAACGAGGAGACGGGAGACCAGATGGTGATGGTCGACTGGAGGTATTTGGTTTGCAGGCTGATCGAACTGGAGGTTGATGGCTTGTTCCGCTTGGTGGTGGGCTTCGTGTGAGGTACGAGAGAGGGCAGGAGCTTTGCTGTGGGGTTGATGGTTAATTCGTTCCTATCGAAGCGAAGATGGACGACGTGTTTTCGTGAGAACTGCCATGCACAAGCTCGGACTTGTGCCAGGTGCTTTCTGGATTGCTGTGCATCACCACTTCCTTTGTCTTGACATACACGGGGGCTTGATTGAATCGGCCCGATGTAGGTATGCGTGAGATATATTACCTACGTTTCGCGCAGCGTACGGGTAAAATCTGAACGAACGTCATTTGTCGGAAACAATCGCACTGGGGTGCGAAACAAACGAGGGCGTTAAGCGGTGTCGGCCAAGCAAGAACTATCTTATCCTCTGACGACCGATCATTTGTCGGTTGTAAGCAAGCGCCATTTGTCTTGTTCGTATACCGTGTTGATGATGCTTGTATCACTTGTATTAACGACAGCGGACGAGATCAAGAGCCGGCGGGAGAGAGAGTGCCGCAAAGTAGCAAGCACTCCCACAGAGCCGAGCCCCGTGGATAAACCATATAACCCAATCCAGGGGACCATCGATTCCTATCTGCGAGGCCACTTCCTACAGTCCCGTTGGAATATCCTCATCCGCTCATGCACACACGAACACCCTCCCTGGTTCTTTACGCAAGTAAATAACCACGAGTGGGCATGCACACGCCGGATGTGACCAAAAACCAAACGAAAAAAACAAATTAAACAGAGGGAAACCCGGCCTCCGGATCAAAACCCCCCACCAGCGTTCACCGTTCAATCAGAAACTGCAACGGCTGCGCTACTAGAGCAAGATCAGGACATGCATAATACTAGCCGCGCCAGTGTCCACGCTCGAAATCTACGTCTGCAAACGTGGGCAGCTGTGGTATCATATTCTTCCTGCATGAAGTACCAAGATCATAACCCTGTTTCCAATAACGGCTATCCCAATTCTCGGTAAACAATTGGGTAAGACTATCTAAAGGAGTTGGTCCAAACAGCCACCATGCGGCTGCACGGCTACTGTCTGTTCTTCAAACAGACATTAAACATCGAGATCGCCCCCCCTCGCTGACGTAACAGAGTGCACCGGGGCAGGCAATCGTCAAACATTTTCTGAGCGACACATAACCGGCATGCATGTTTTTTTCGACTATCCTCTATTCTCGGGGAAGTGCAACAATGGTCTCCCAATTTTACCCATATGTTCCTTCAGCGATTCCAACAATATCCGATATTCCTACGCATTTCGCAAACCTAGAGAACTGCACCACGTGGCCGCAGTCAATAAGGGTCTCAACCGAATGACTTCAAGGAAAATACTGAACATGTGGACGCGAACGCCTTCGAGATAACACGAAAACACCCTCCCAGGTTCTTCAACCAAAGTGCAATCACGACAACGAACGAAGATTACCAACTTCGCTACGAATACCATCCAACATGAAATACCGTCAAGGTGTGCCGTTTTTCAGCACTGTGATGCGTGTTGGTCCCCTCCCAGCTCTCGTCCCGGCTGGTAGCCTCGCCAGAAAAAGAGTTCCCGTTTTAACACAACGATGCATGTTGCCTCCCCCGCCAAGCCCCTTCCGACGTGCTGCAGGGCTCCCCCTCACGCGCCTTCCAGCGCGCCACGGGGCTGCTTCGATTTTCACGTCCCCATCCTTCAGTTCCGACGTCTCTTGGATCCCCACTACATCCAGATCGCTTTGTTCTACTTGGTCCACTATTTCCAACCGCTTGCGTTCACTCCTTGCGAACCCGCACACGTTCCACGACCCCACTCTCAGCTTGTGCTTTTCCCTATTGGAGATTTTGCGCACTCTATCCTTCGCCTTCCGCTTCTTCTCGGCGTTCTTCTGATTTGCCTGCTCGTCTCCCCCGCCCGGTCTCTTCTTCGCCTCTATCGCCCTCGCCTCCTGTCGCCTTACCTTCTCTGTTCCTATCATGTTCGCGACGCAAACCCTCCATCCAACCTTCCTTACGTAGTTCGACAGCTTCTCGATGTCAACCCCCAAGCACTCTTGGCTGTCTCCCTTGGTCAATTTCACCCGGACAGAAGAGGGGGTGCGTAGACCACGCATTCACGGTAGGGAGAATCATCCAAGGTAGAAAGAGGGCGGGCAAGCGGACGTACTGCTTCTTCCTGGACGTGAAAAAGGCATACGATACCGTATGGAGAAATGGGCTGTGGAAACAATTGTCCAAGTACGGGATCAAGGGGAAAATGTGGAGGGTGCTGAAGAAGATGACAGAGTGTACGAAAAGCGCGGTCATGCTAGACGGAGAACTGTCTAAATTCTTCGACATTGAGCAAGGGGTCCCACAAGGTTGAACGCTGTCCCCAACATTGTTCCAGGTGTTCATCAACGATCTGTTGGAAGTCGTAGAGGCAGTCCGGAAGGGAGTAAAAGTAGGGGACACGGAAACTTCGGTGTCAGGAATGCTGTTTGCGGATGACTTTGTTGGTATGTCGGACACCCCTGAGGGACTGCAACTGCAAATTGACGCGGCGAAGAAGTTTACTGATAAGTGGAGATTGTCTGCCAACGTTACGAAGAGTGCCGTCATGGTATGCAACGAGGGCAGGGAGGAACCAGTAGAACATAGATGGAAGTGGGGGGATCGAGGAGATTGCAGTAGTCGACCAGTACACATACCTCGGAGTAGAGATCGCAAAAGATTGCTCGTGGAATGCACACATGTCCAAGGTAGCGGAAAAGGGGCAAAGCACGAGCAGGGAAGCTTCACCCAATACTCGCAAACCGGCACCTTGATACACGCATCAAATTGACGGTTTTGAAGAGCGTAATCGTACCGCCGCTGGAGTACGCCGGAGAAGTATGGGAAGGAAATAAGAAGGTAGTGAAAGAACTCGAGGCGGCGCAGATGAAAGCAGCGAAAATCATCCTAGGATGCTCCAAGCGCACAAGTAATGCAGCAGTCAGGGCAGAATTGGGGATCCAATCCCTACGGTCGGGAAGAGACGTAAGGAAGCTGACATGGCAGTACCGCATGTGCGGGATGGGAGAGGAGAGGTTGCCGAGAATAGTATGGGAGGCGAAGTGGGCAAATAAAAAGAGGAGGTAGACAACCCACGGAATGGGTCAAGGTTGTAGAGGACGTATGGAAGGGATTGGACATCGACGAAGATGAAACGCTGGAAACGGAGGGTCTACAGGGGTTCAAGGAGAAGATATCTGTTGCTTGTGCCGACAGAGAAGAACAGAATCTAAGGAAAGAATCCAAGGATAAGGAGGGTCTAGAAGTGTACGGAATGTTGAAAGAAGGAATAGGGTTCAAGGATTACCTACATGGACCAATGGATGCAGGGACAAAGCTTAAGGTCAAATTCAGGACCGGGGACATAGGCCTTCGCGAACGTCGACGAAGACATAGGACGGTAGACGACGAAGACGACAAGTTCAAATGTGATTGCGGCTTCGAATGCGAAGACAGTGTTCATGTAGTCGCGGAATGTCCGTGGTACGAAAAGGAGAGGGAAGTGTACATGACTGAGCTGGGAAGAATACAAGGGACGTACAGGGAGATGCTTGAGGCATGGAATAGAGAGGAGAGGACGGTAGCGGTACTGGGGAGTAGGAAGTGGTTTGAAAAGGCGGGAAGTGACATCGGTAGGATAGACAGACTAGGGAAGACATTTTTGAGCCACCTTTGGCAAAGTAGGAAGGAACGATTGGCCATCGGTGATCGGTCCTGTGGGAACAATGCTCCGTCCTCTCGAGGACGCGTGGTCAATGGTCTAACCGCTAAGGCATGCAAAGCATAAGAGTACGCCCCCCCCCCCCCCCCCCCCCCCCCCCTC